CAAAAATACCTTTCGAGCAAACCTTGCACTGGTAACATTGAAGCTCATTTTTGGCCAGTTTGACGGGAGACATTTCCACATAGTCTTCAACAGTGTCATTCGTCTTCATTTAGAGTACGGAAACAGTGTTTCCTCCCTCACTCTGGAACATGTCCAACGGCGAGCCACGAAATAAGTTCGGTGACCTTCTTTTGGCTTACTGCATCCTTAACACATGGATATCCTTTTAGGTTTAGCTCCAACACGAACCTATGGGTTAACACCCAGAAACTAGAGACACGACATAGCACAGCGGACTGTAGACACAAATTTTACTCCTTAATAGTTGTAAAATGCTGGAACTCGCCTCAGTCTGAGCTATTCCAAGTGAATTCTCAGGAGTCCTTTAAGAGGAATCTTGATCTATTCTTAAGGGCTAAGGATAATATCTTACTATGATTTACCAATTTCTTTTTCTTCTTTTATCGTTAATATACTTAGGTTCCTGCCTGGAGGTGTTGATTATCCATTGTTACTAGTCACGGAAGCCCGTTAAGCGAAAGCTTCTTCTATTTCATCCGCAACAATTTGAACCATTTGGGTAGGGGGGACTATTGAAAGTTCGCGTTACAGTTGTGCATCTCCAATTGTAGTCCACGGATTGTAGTAAGTTATATACGAGTGAGGTCTATAACTTGTCGTTACATAGAATATTATCACCAATGTTTGGTCTTAGCTGTTAATTATTTGTACTTTTGGATTTGTTTTAACCATTTTACAACATCTGTCGGTCTAAATTGTAATGTATTGCTGCTGTTTTGCAAACTACACATATAACTCGGATAAATAGCCTCTGGAAGCCTAGTTAATCGAGGACTGGTTATGTTCTTAGTCATTCGAAAATGCCAAACGATGCCCGTTTCAAAGACAGGCTAGTTACTCACTTTGAAGTCATCGTCTCTAGAAACTTAATAGAGAGCGACCTTAGTCTGTTGCTAACAGAAAGTCTGGACGCCAGAAACTGTCAGCGCAATGCAACCAAATCATTCGTTACTCCACCTCATTTGAAGGCAGGTAAAGGTGCCGACTCGTGGGCTCTCTTGGGCTCCATTCATGGCCTACATCCTCCCACATCATGAAACACGCAGAATTGTTGCACCCTTTTTCATCATGGAGAAAATGAATCGGCTGAAGTGAGTACGATGGCATGCAGCTGCGTTATGTGTAAGTTTACGTGACAAAAAGTTAGAACCAACTTCACAACCTGGGGTTGTGCTGTCTAGGTTAAATACTGGTAGGCGACCTGGTGAGTGTGTAACGTACGAAGCATTCTGGATCTCACAAATAGAAATATCCCTCTTGAAACACCTTTGTACTTTCTAAAGGAACCCGAGACGAATAACACATGAAAGAGCGAACATCCAGACAAGATCACGCTTCTCATTACCGGTCGGCGCTACATGGGACTCTCTTCCAAAGGGTATGACAACAGCCATCAGTGAAGCATCTCGAGAGAAGACTTTGTAAATATGCACATACTAATGGTTAGCCGTCTTTCGCGTGGAACAACGTTTGGTAAGATGAGGATGGATGTTTCGCACTCATTAGCGTTCATGTACCATATTTTGCGCTTGATCCGTAATTATTATTACTGATTATTATTGTTAGTACTCACCCTATACCACTTGACCTCTTTACATCCCTTTTCATACTCCGTTCACATATTTTTATACTTACCTTAATCACTAGTTCAGCTGACTGGTTTGCTTTGGCGCCTCTACTCCTTTATTTTTTAGTTTTGAAATCCTTCGTGTTACAAGAAACTAGTTTGCCTCTTTGTAACGTGATGGCTGTTGGTTCTAGCATCTTCACTGCTCTGAGACAAACACATTCATTTATACTCGAGGGTAACACGACTCAATCGTTCACAATGGTAGTGCATTCAATCCTTGTCTTCTTTTAAAACTTGAATCCCAATATCTCATTCTACTTTTTTATCTTTGTTAGCGGGACATAGACTAGACTAAAGCATGCTCAATGCATGATTGCTTTGGTGCACGCTGATTGGCTAATTCTTATCCAATCAGCGCTAGTCGATAGTTGGAGAATATTCTGGATTCTTCTTATGTAAAAACTATAAATATACCGACGTTTTCCCCTATTGTGCTTCCTACTGGCTTCTGACTTGCTATTTGGAATATAATCTTTTCCCTGTTCAACCGTGTTCTGATTTGGGGACTTGTCGAGTGAATCGGTGTCCGAGAATACTAAGCAATAGGAATAGCCGGGTCATCAACCGTAAGAAAATAGAGTTATAACAGTGGCGACGGGGAAAAACTAAAGAAAAATGGCGATTTCTTTAGAACAGTTGCGGTTAATATTACAGCACCAGCAGAAGTTGTTAGCCTTGCAACAACAACTATTGAACACACTTTTCACTCGACCAGAAAATAAATCTGTTTATGATGCAGTAACAGACATTTCAGAAGCATATCTAGTGGAGGGTTCAAATCCCTTTATACCTGAATCAGAACGTAATATTTGTAACGTGTCCGGCTCACAGCAAGAAAATACTGTGCTGAATGCACATGAAGTTGTGACAATACCAGATGATCAGGAGCCAGGTCCTGTAGATGAAGCCCGGAGTCCAGAATCAACTGAAACACTACTGGTACTGTCTAGCTGCGAAAATAAACGTCAGCTCGAACAAAATTGTGGTCCACGTGCTATTAGTCGAGAAAGCTATGGTGACTCGTATTCAGAAAATAACTGGAGCAACACGATGAACCAAATTGTACCAGATGTTACTCAAAATCACCGGAAGACAGAATTTTATATTAAGTCAACTTATCCCATTTCTAATGACAGTGTACCAGATATTGATTCTCAGAATAATGCATATGATTTTGATGAACCTTCTTATAACAATGAGGGAAATATGTCAGCTGAGTCGAATGATGGCCAAAAATCTAATCTAATTCTGTTAGACGTTGACTTTCTTAATGACTCGTTATCAGCTAACGAGATTCATAATGAATTTGAAAATAATGAACTCAGATCAAAGGTTGTTCATCATCATCTAGTCATTTTTAGTGGATTCTCCAGTCAATACGAGAAACATGGTTTAAATAAAGTCCTACTAGTTATAATTTGGAGCCATAAGGACCCAACATTATTTCGAGGAGGAGGAGAATGTTGGAGAATTAAAAGTTATGCATACTTTTTTTTTAAGAAAAATCAAAACGCCGGGAACAGACATGTCAGTCTCTGTGCAAGGAAAAAGTGATAATTCTTCATTGCCTAGACGATGGACTAATCGAAAGCACAAGCCAGTCACTCAGTTGCAGTTGGACCCTAGCACCAGATCCTACGAATCTGCTCAGAGGGGAGGTGTTAGCGGGACATAGACTAGACTAAAGCATGCTCAATGCATGATTGCTTTGGTGCACGCTGATTGGCTAATTCTTATCCAATCAGCGCTAGTCGATAGTTGGAGAATATTCTGGATTCTTCTTATGTAAAAACTATAAATATACCGACGTTTTCCCCTATTGTGCTTCCTACTGGCTTCTGACTTGCTATTTGGAATATAATCTTTTCCCTGTTCAACCGTGTTCTGATTTGGGGACTTGTCGAGTGAATCGGTGTCCGAGAATACTAAGCAATAGGAATAGCCGGGTCATTAACCGTAAGAAACCAGAGATTATAACAATCTTTCTGTACCTAACTTTTCTACTAGTATTATTACTGCTCCTGCTTCTACTACTCAAGTGTTTTTGAAGTAGTTTTGTCGCTGAATTGTAATATGGCGAATGAATCATGCCAGGTTTTACGTTGGGCATGATGAATCATAATGATTCGAGACATCAACCTCCAAATTATCATCGAATTCATTTCGGTTAGTGCAACCATGTGGTTAGAACACATCAGGGGATACCAAAGGTCTGGAAACCGTATATTAACACCGAGTAGTGATCTCACAGAAATCAGTTGATTTACACTAACTTGTCGCAGCGATATTGGATATGCTATGACGAAAGTGCCGTTAAAACCAGTCTTGAATTAACAACATCGAAGTGCATTTTCGAACAATTTGACGGTAAAACTCATTTATTTTTGACATTTTTATACAGACCCAATTGGATTATGAAACTTTTCTGCACTATAGGAAGATAGGAATACTCTTAACTGTATATAACGACGAGCTATGAAATCGTTCGGACTTCGGTTCAGGGTTTACGAGAAACGCTTTAAAACAATTTTAGAATATAGGCAACTCAAAAACAGCATTTAATGACTATTGCATCATGGTAATTACGTAGAAGTTTAGCTTAATATTTTCCAAATCGTTCTACCTTTGTGGCTCCACAAAGTTTCTTCTAATTTGCCACTTATAATACATCTAGAACATCATTTTAACCTGCTTGATACATTTACAGTCTTTTTATTATATAGTACTACATTTCAAAGCCCCCAAATGCCCTGGTACGGCCGAGAGAGGAGAATCCTCTCTCCCTCTCCAAATGCTCTCACATGGCCATGCGTATATAGCCTCTGCCAGGGAAGTCCTACTCACTGCCTTCTCGTGGCGGGGGTGTTGTTTACGAAAACGAGAGGACGAAAAGCGAATGTCCGGCGCTTTAACCGGATTCCAAAGCAATGGTGCACATGGGCTCCAGTACCCTGCGGGAACAAATGGCATATGAACCAATTGTTGGTCACCGGTTTCCATAAGACTGCATCTCCTGACGATGCTCCAGTGCCTTGTGGATCAGACCTTCAGATCGAAGGCTCGGGGAGTGGCCCCCTAAGAAAACCACCTGCTTCGGTTTGGGCACCCGGGTAGTATCACAGCCCTCACACATATCGAATAAGATTTGTGTGGCGTATATGTATTTGATGCCTCTTTGTACCATTATCTATGTGTTAAAATAAAATAACTACATTTCAGAAACTGTTTATTCTTTGTACTGCAACATTTTATATCTTTGTAAAAAGTATTTCTATTCTAAAATCCAGATATGTTAGCCGCGTCAGATCCTAGGAGACCCAATAAACTTCGAAGGTATGTCTTTATGATCATTTATTAAACCATTAAGATTCGTCCCATTATCACAGGATGCCCCTCCACTAGACCAAACTATAGACTATCTTAATTTTTTCGGAATAGTCTTAAGCATGTGTGGACTGTTGTTTGAAGTAAGTTGAAAATATGAAAAGTCTATGCTAGTAGATGAAGTTTGCTGCTTGGTTGGCCGTCGTTTGTGCTTTCATAACGTATGCCAACTCAAGAACTGGGGAAGATACAAAACAGCTGATCAGTGGCTTCATGTAATTATGTTCCTTTTCGTTACTAATAGGTGGCATTTTCAGGTTGTCTATCAGCGCACTTATAATATGTTATATGCATAATCCACAACCTATGCAGCTTCCTTGGTGATTTTCTTGTAAATTATGCGGATTTTTTGAAATAAAAATTGGTTGTACTTTGACTTCTTGATTTTAAATCTCGGATTCACTCACTTCTTTAAATAACTTTTCATTATTCTAGGCTGAATTACCACCCCTTCAGCTCCCTGCGGGTTCATACAATCCAGTCAATAAGCGTGTTATATATGTTGGTAGGCTCTCATTTATTTAGGTAATATTGTTAATTTTTAACAGGGGGACTATCAGAGCAAGTTGATGTACCTCTTGTTCGTGCGGCGTTTATCCCTTTTGGAGACATAGTTAGTATTAATATGCCCATGGACTATCAAACTGGTAAATGACATTCTGTTTTCATTTCCTGTTAGAAAAACACAGAGGTTTCGCTTTTGTTGAATTCGAAGAAGTTGAGGATGCTATGAGTGCCATTGATAATATGGTAAGTTATATTTTCATACGCTTCAATGAAATTTAAAGCACAGAGTAGCATTTTGAATATAATCAGTTTAAAATTCGAGATTAGTATAGTTGTAAATTTCTTGTACCACGTTAATTTAAAGAATGTGATGCTTTAAAAAGTAATAAAGCTTATCGTCCTTGTCATGCTCTCAACATTTATTTTAATGTTGATACATTTAATACACTACATCTAAGCATCTCATAAGAGACGTTCTACGAGTTGTTTTGAACATATTATAGCGTAACTTATTCAGCAAGTATATATTTACGTACTCAAGTGTCAACCTTATTAGGGCGGTCAGGAATCAATAAGTTATTGGTCCATTGGTAAAATTCGGTAACAAGTACTAGAATTTTCATGGTTCTCACCACTAAACAAACAGTTGATAAGATTAATCACTACACCTTAATAATCTATTTTTTTCTTCACGTTGGGCTCAGTACTTTACCTGCTTCGGTCTGGGCACCCGGGCAGTATCACAGCCCACACACAAATATAATGAAAATGATGATATTTACTGAAAACTCTATTCTCGCTTCGATTTACAGTCAAACAATTCACATTATTATTATTATTATTATTATTATTATTATTATTATTATTATTATTATTATTATTATTATTTACTACGTCACTTATTCACTCTCTTTTATTACCACTTTGTGTATTCTCATTTTTCGACTTATACAGCAGCTCTCTTATAGTGGAAACTCGGTTCTATTTAAACGTTTTCGAGTCACTGCCTGGTTGAAAATTGTATGCTACCACCAAATAGGAATACTGTAGCAGCATTCAAACGGGCTGCCTCCAACGTTCGCATACTTATGCACGTCGGACAACAGATAGGATTGGTTAAGTTTTTAGAGAGTATTAATTTCGATATCTGTTACCTATCACAGACCCGTATTCAATACTCTAGTGAGGTACCACAAACCCATTCTCCATCTGTCGTTTCGAAAAGCTTGTTTCTCATATGTTTGCCCGGGGATCCTGTGGCATTTTCGTCTGGTCTTGCTGGTGTCTGTGTCGCACTAAGCGTTAGGGCTGAAGCAGCACTAATCAATTGGATCCCCATTAACAGTTGGTCATGTGCTGTTACACTACAAAGTTTCATCAAAGTGCGAAGAAATTGGTGTGAGAAACGATATCTTTTCGTTATCTCCGCCTGCGCTCCGACATATTGCAGCCTGGATGCAATCAAGGATGAATTCCACCACCAGTTAACTGTTCTTCTCCAGAAAGTGCGTTCGACAGATATTGTAGTGCTAGTCAGAGACTTGAATGCTCAGGTCGGGCGTCTAGGCACAGAAAAGAGTCGTTTAGGTGGCCGATGGGGAATTGTTGGTCGCAGGACAGATAACGGGGACCGTCTACTGCAACTGTGCACAGACCACAACCTGTTTCTGGCTCGCACTAACTTCCGGCACAGTCATCGCCGATGTGCCACCTGGCGTGGTTGTGTACAAGACTTCTGCTCCTTTTGGAGTATCTATTTGGACTCCGATCATGCCCTGGTCTGCGCCAATCTCATCTTACTTTTCAGTGGACAACGAAGTGACCGCCACCAACGGATTGATGTCAGCAAGTTGGTTGCGGCTTATGTTGCAACTATATATCAAACCGAGCTAGGTCCAAGGTTAGCTACCATACCATCAGAAAGTATAGATGAGCACTGGCTGCAATCGCATGACGTCATGAAAATGGCGATTTAAGTCGCTTGTGAATTCGCGAAACTTCACCCTTATAAGCACTGGGTTTCTTCAGGCTCCTTACAACTCACTGAAACCCGACGGTATACTCCGAGTGACCGTGAAATTGACCATGAACGAAGACTGTTACGCAATTAAATTAGGCAAAGCTTGCGTAAGGACCGAGAAGCCTGGTGGTCGGAGCGTGACAATTAGTTGGGAGCAGCAGCTGCATCTGGTAACTACCGGAAGCTCTTCCAACTCATCCGAGCCACTGGCAGCAAAAAGTCTGGTGTGAGCGAAACAATCTGTGAAGATGACGGGATGCCAATCACTAGCGTCCACCGACGTCCTGGACGATGGGCAGAGTTTTTCGAGAGACAGTTCAGCTGATCTGTTGCTGCGACAAAATCGATCAAACTGCCCTGCTCTCCATACCCTGTGACGACTGATCCACCTAACAAGGCCGGAGTCCTCAAAGAACCCCAAATCTTGAAGCGCTACAAATCACCAGGTTCAGATGACTAACCTCCTGCCCCATTTTAAAGATGATAGTGACTTTCTGGTTAAGGAACTGCAACGTTGTTTAGAAAGGTCTGGGAGTTAGGGTGTACCAACGTCATGGAACGAGTCGATAGTTATTTCTATCTTTAAGCAGGGTTCTGCAACAACTATCGGGGGATAATTCTACCTCCGATCGCATCCGAACTGTTGGCTTCTACCATACTTCGTAGGTTGTTCAAAAACCGAGAACGATTAGCTCGCAGGGAGCAGGCTGGTTTTCGTTCCGGTCGAGGATGTATTGATCATATCTTCACCCTCCGCCAAATGTTAGAACACCGTCATACTTATCACAGGCCAACAATCATAATGTTTCTTGACATTAGGGCTGCCTTCTATTCGTTGGACAGGACTGTTCTCTGGGATTGTCTATTGAAGAAGGGTGTGCCTGAGAAGTTTATCAACATCCTAAAGGCCCTATATGCAAACACCTCAGGCAGATTAAGGGCATACAACCACCTTTCTCCATTGTTCCACTCAAGCAGTGGGGTTAGGCAGAGTTGCTTAATCTCACCATCCCTCCTCAACATTGCTATGGATCACGTTCTAGAAACAGCTCTGATGGATGTAAGTAATGGCGGTGTGGATCTGTTTACTGGAGAAAGACTTCTCGACCTTGAGTATGTGGATGATATTGTCTTACTGTGCGATAATGCCAAAGCCATGCAATCCGCACTTAATCAGTTAGCAATCAGTGTCCGTAGGTATGGTATGTGCTTTGCACCTTCGAAATGCAAAGTACTTCTAGAAGACTGGCAGGATTCTCATCCTGTACTCACCCTGGATGGTGAGCAGATAGAAGTAGTCGAGAAGTTCGTGTATCTAGGTAGCAGCATAAGAGCACGTATAGTGAAAGCCAGAGCGGCTTATGTCAATCTGGGCCATCTTTGGCGCCTTCGTGATGTTAGTCTGGCTGTAAAAGGTCGGACCTACAACGCGTTGGTGAGAGCAGTTCTGCTCGATGCCTATGAAGCCTAGCGTCTCCGAGTTGAAGATGTTAGACAACTCTGTGTTCGATCATCGTTGTCTCCGAAGTATTGCTGATATCCAGTGGCAACACCATGTTAGTAATGCAGAGGTTCGGCATCGTGTGTTCGGGCGTAGCGACGGTAATTCAATTGATGTCATCATCCTGAAACAGCGACTTCGATGGCTGGAACAAGTCTTACGAATGTCATCCAGGAGAATTACATATCGTGCATTACTTGCCGACACCTGGACCGGTTGGAAAAGCGGAAAGGTGGTCAGTGTATAACATGGTGTTGTGGTATGAAAGACAGCCGCAAAGGGTTGGTTTCTGTTGGTCCTTCTCGACTCCCTGGCTGTGGTCTGAGAGATGGTGCAACACGGCTAGAGACGTTATCATATATGGCTCAGAATAGAAGCCAGTGGCGATCTTGCTGTAACCTTCTTTTACTTTCTTCATAAAAAGTGGTTGTATCTTCTCTAACTGAAAGAATTCTTCCTGGTTGTACATTTCCGTTTCCCTCATTATTACTATTAATTACTATCATTACACTACCCTACAGTAATCTGTTCGTTATTGTTGTTTTTTCTCTTCGAATTCTCATTGTTTTGTATGGCGCATATATATTTGGTGCCCTCTTTTACCAATATTTGTGTTCAAATAAAATAAAATCTCTAGATAGCATACTTCAAGGTAGTCAAAAGTAGTATGACCAAACATTTGACGGAGAGCCAGGGTTATAAAACCAGTGTAGTTTGGTATGGGGTTTTGGCAAAACAGGAGTGCATATTTACTAGTGTTTATAACACTCCTCACAAACTCTACTAGTTGTATCCACGTTTATTAAAATGACTTAAATTAACATTCAGTAGCTTAATTTGGACTATGTATTAAGCTGGGCACTGTGGAGCTTCTACTGATTAATGGATAACAGTTACGAAGCGGGTATTGGTTGTACAGTCTGAAGTGTTTTGGTTCTTCTACGTTGAATTTCATGTTCTCAACTCAACGTGTGTGTTCGGGATGTCACAGTCATAGGTATACTTTATTATTATTAATGTTCATCAACCAAACTTAATAATGATAAGACAAAGTCTCGCCTTGTTATTTATGGTGGTTTATCATCACTTATGGTGCAGACACGTATAATAATCGAAATCTAGATTTAAATTTCCGATTTTATTAGACTTTCTTAAATTCTAATCTGCAGATAATATTGGTGAGGTGGAAAATTTAGTCCGACCAACTTAAGGGAACTATCGTAGGAGATATACTTTATTTAGCTAACATGATATCAACTGAAATTACGTAAATTTTGTGTCGACTCATATTATAATTGTGGAGGATTTTTTATTTGCCAAATGTGTAATTCACTCAATACATGAAACTAGTGCAGTAATATATTGTTTTCAACTACTGATTGGTCTCCAGAGATATCTACTCGTGCTATACTGAGGTTTCACAATGTATCTATGGGCGTGATAAAGTCTCTCAAAAATATGAGATGCGATGTTTCGGACACATTTTGTGCTTGGCACTAATGCCGTCCAAACAAATAACTATCAGCACCTCACTCAAGTATAAAGCCTTGATCATTCCAGTCGACCGGGGTTCATCAGATAATTTAAACACATCGTTTTCTCGCTACAAGAGAAGTACTTTGGGGTCATGTGTAAGGAAATATTTATCACTTTTAGTGACCGTATCCAACACCTTAAAAACAGAACGGATGACACTTTTGTTTGTCGTAGTGGCATCTTACAAGACATTCGCGAAGCCGTCCAGCTTAGGTTGCTAAACAACGAAATGAAGTTGTTTCTTCTTTCTTATGGGATTCGAACACAATATTTTGAATCCTCTATGGGTTTAGTAAAAATTTTCGATATAAGTATAATATTGGTGATGAGCTCAGAACAACTGTTACGAATTATAACCAGTTGTCAGTCAACCCAAAAACAACAGAGTTTATGGGAAGTTGACAACAATATTACACGAATCAAACAAATTTTTGTATGATTAGTAAACCTATTAGTTTTTCTGTTTGTAAGTTAAAAAAGCATCGTAGAGCCATCTTTGCTGATATAGATTATTCATCTTCTCAAACCCTTATAAGGACACATCGATTCTCACGAGCCTTTTACTGTTAAGGGTTAGAGTTGGAAATTTGAGGTCAGGTAATTGTTGTTCGAGTTAGAAAGTTACGATTCGGAATTTAAGGATAAGGACTTCAATTTAAGAAGTGTTGATCCGCCTGTTAAATGCAGTCAACATAGAAAGAATTGAGCACTTAATTTGTTTAACGCTATCGTATTTAATTTATAGTGAGGAACAATATTCGTTATCATTTTGTGCATTGCACAAAGGTACTTCTGTTGATTGTGATATCAGATAAAAGTCGTTTGTCTTTGAATATTTTGATTGGTTTATTGCTATTGTACTTTTACTTGATTTCCTATCAAAGAGATAAACTACTCTTTGGTGAAACCATTATAATGTCTTCTCAATCTTTCTTATAGAATGAAAGTGAAATATTCGGGCGTACCATCCGTGTTAATGTGGCAAGACCAGTACGCATACGGGAGGGTTGGAGTCGACCTGGTAATGTTTTTTTTCAATTATTATTGTCGTGGTGCGAAATTTTTGAGACTATTCAATTTCAAGATAATTTAAATCACATTTTATTTAGACAATCAGTCAGCCATATAGTGTACTTCCAGTTATGTGTAGCTTGTTCGTATTATACCTTTATATTGTTACGTCTCCAATGACTTAGTTTAAATTGCCAACCTTTTGTGTAACAGTTGGTAAATTCTGGCATAACATTTGTTGATTTCTACGTCTATAACTAACTTTCTTCAAAGTGTTAGAGTCTTGAATGTTTTCAGTCATTAGTCTTATTTATTCATATGGCAACGGTCACCCTCAAATAATTTCACCTCGTCAGACATTACTGTTTGTTGGTGTGATAAAATTGCTGCAAGTTGATCACACTGTCTCAAGCCTATACTGTGTATTTATTTATTTATTTGAACACATAAACATCGGTCCAATGGGGCATCAATTACATATGTGCCACACAATAACAACGAGGTTATGAAGAGATAGAGAATGCAAAGTGCGTATAATAAAAGAACTACAACGAATAAAAATTAGTGTATGAGAGTGAAATAATGAAAACAATGGGAGAAACAGTTCAGTTAGCAAAAACATATCCGGGAAGAACTCATTCACTTAAAGAAGTTACGTTTACTTTTATGAAAAAAGTAAAAGAAGGTTACAGCAGGATCGCCACTGGCTTCGATTCTGAGCCATGTCTGATAACATCCCACGCCACTGTGTTGTACCATCTCTGGGCCTCAATCAGGGAGTCATGAATGATCAGTAGGAGCCGATCCTGCACAGCTTTCTTTCATACCACAACACCATGTTATACACTGACCACCTTTCCGCTTTTCCAACCGGTCCAGGTGTCGGCAGGTAATGCACGATATGTAATTCTCCTGGATGACATTCGTAAGACTTGTTCCAGCCATCGAAGTCGCTGTTTCAGGATGACGACATCAATTGAATTACCGTCGCTACGCCCGAACACACGATGCCGAACCTCTGCATTACTAACATGGTGTTGCCACTGGATATCAGCAATACTTCGGAGACAACGATGATCGAACACAGAGTTGTCTAACATCTTCAACTCGGAGACGCTAGGCTTCATAGGCATCGAGCAGAACTGCTCTCACCAACGCGTTGTAGGTCCGACCTTTTACAGCCAGACTAACATCACGAAGGCGCCAAAGATGGCCCAGATTGACATAAGCCGCTCTGGCTTTCACTATACGTGCTCTTATGCTGCTACCTAGATACACGAACTTCTCGACTACTTCTATCTGCTCACCATCCAGGGTGAGTACAGGATGAGAATCCTGCCAGTCTTCTAGAAGTACTTTGCATTTCGAAGGTGCAAAGCACATACCATACCTACGGACACTGATTGCTAACTGATTAAGTGCGGATTGCATGGCTTTGGCATTATCGCACAGTAAGACAATATCATCCACATACTCAAGGTCGAGAAGTCTTTCTCCAGTAAACAGATCCACACCGCCATTACTTACATCCATCAGAGCTGTTTCTAGAACGTGATCCATAGCAATGTTGAGGAGGGATGGTGAGATTAAGCAACTCTGCCTAACCCCACTGCTTGAGTGGAACAATGGAGAAAGGTGGTTGTATGCCCTTAATCTGCCTGAGGTGTTTGCATATAGGGCCTTTAGGATGTTGATAAACTTCTCAGGCACACCCTTCTTCAATAGACAATCCCAGAGAACAGTCCTGTCCAACGAATAGAAGGCAGCCCTAATGTCAAGAAACATTATGATTGTTGGCCTGTGATAAGTATGACGGTGTTCTAACATTTGGCGGAGGGTGAAGATATGATCAATACATCCTCGACCGGAACGAAAACCAGCCTGCTCCCTGCGAGCTAATCGTTCTCGGTTTTTGAACAACCTACGAAGTATGGTAGAAGCCAACAGTTCGGATGCGATCGGAGGTAGAATTATCCCCCGATAGTTGTTGCAGAACCCTGCTTAAAGATAGAAATAACTATCGACTCGTTCCATGACGTTGGTACACCCTAACTCCCAGACCTTTCTAAACAACGTTGCAGTTCCTTAACCAGAAAGTCACTATCATCTTTAAAATGGGGCAGGAGGTTAGTCATCTGAACCTGGTGATTTGTAGCGCTTCAAGATTTGGGGTTCTTTGAGGACTCCGGCCTTGTTAGGTGGATCAGTCGTCACAGGGTATGGAGAGCAGGGCAGTTTGATCGATTTTGTCGCAGCAACAGATCAGCTGAACTGTCTCTCGAAAAACTCTGCCCATCGTCCAGGACGTCGGTGGACGCTAGTGATTGGCATCCCGTCATCTTCACAGATTGTTTCGCTCACACCAGACTTTTTGCTGCCAGTGGCTCGGATGAGTTGGAAGAGCTTCCGGTAGTTACCAGATGCAGCTGCTGCTCCCAACTAATTGTCACGCTCCGACCACCAGGCTTCTCGGTCCTTACGCAAGCTTTGCCTAATTTAATTGCGTAACAGTCTTCGTTCATGGTCAATTTCACGGTCACTCGGAGTATACCGTCGGGTTTCAGTGAGTTGTAAGGAGCCTGAAGAAACCCAGTGCTTATAAGGGTGAAGTTTCGCGAATTCACAAGCGACTTAAATCGCCATTTTCATGACGTCATGCGATTGCAGCCAGTGCTCATCTATACTTTCTGATGGTATGGTAGCTAACCTTGGACCTAGCTCGGTTTGATATATAGTTGCAACATAAGCCGCAACCAACTTGCTGACATCAATCCGTTGGTGGCGGTCACTTCGTTGTCCACTGAAAAGTAAGATGAGATTGGCGCAGACCAGGTGTTAGCGGGACATAGACCGGATTAAAGCATGCTCAATGCATGATTGCTTTGGTGCACGCTGATTGGCTAATTCTTAACCAATCAGCACTAGTCGATAGTTGGAGAACACTCTAGAATCTTCTCATGTAGGATACTATAAATATACTGACGTTTTTCTCTATTGTGCTTCTGACTTCCATCTAACCTTGTTATTTGGAATATAATCTCTTCCTGTTCAACCGTGTTTTGATTTGGGGACTTGTCGAGTGAATCGGTGTCCGAGAATACTAAGCAATAGGAATAGCCGGGTCATAACCGTAAGAAAAGCGATATATAACAGTGGCGACGGGGAAAAAGGAAAACAAATTCAAGATGCCTATATCAGATGACCAGCTTAACCGAATACTACAACAACAGCAAGCACAACTTGATGCACAAATGCGGTTGTTGGAGACTCTGACTCGACAGTTCAACATCCACAGTTCGAGTTCACACGCTATTTCAAGTTCGTCTTGTGATGCAGTTGCTAGCAGCATCCCAGAATTCGTCTATGATCCCGAAAATGGAAATACTTTTCTCACGTGGTTCAGACGTTGGGAAGATACATTTAGAACAGAATTCTGTAATCAAGACGATGCGTGGAAGACCCGATTGTTGGTACGTAAGTTGGGAAGCAACGAACATGCACGTTTTGCTGACCATATTTTGCCAAAGTTACCTCGAGAGCTCAGTTTCGAGGAGACGGTATTTCAGCTGTCAGAGATATTCGGCGAGTCATCCTCGTTGTTTAGTATTCGATATCGGTGTCTAAATTTGGTGAAACGCGAAGCTGATGAATATGGTGTTCTAGCAGACATTGTCAACAGAGAATGTGAACGTTTCAAGTTGCGCTCGTTGACTGATGACCAATTTAAATGCTTAATATTCATCAAAGCTCTTCAGTCACCACAAGACGCTGAGATCAGGACTAGACTTTTGGCTCGACTGGACCAAGATCCAAACGTCACACTCAGAACATTGACAGATGAGTGTAAGCGTCTACAAAGCATCAGACACGACAACGAGTTGATTGAACAGGTAAATCCTAATTTAACCTGCGGTAGTGTAAATACTATTACTAGGTTAAAAGTTCAGAAGCCGGTAACAACTCGTAACAAACCAAGGACTGCATGCTGGTTATGCGGTGATTGGCATTATGCACGATTCTGTCCGTTCAAGAAGCATAAATGTCAGGAGTGCAACAAACGTGGACATAAAGAAGGTCATTGTCCACCGAAGCGTACGTCTCAGCCTAAGAAGAAGCATAAACGTCCTCGACATGTGAAATCAGCCGAGTCCAAATCTCTTTCTTTGGTAGCTGCCTTTCAAACAAACTATGACATTCAGAGAAAGTATGTTACTATCCAGATAAACGGCATATCAGCTCGTCTTCAAATTGACACGGCATCAGATATCACGTTAGTGTCTAGAGAAACATATAACTTGCTGGGTAAACCGCCAATGAAGCCATCTAAGAAAACGGCTAAAAACGCATCAGGTGGTGTGCTAAAACTGGTTGGTGAATTACAGTGTGAATTTTCCTTCAATGGAACTAACTGTACAGGAATATGTTACCTAACAGAACGGCCGAACCTTGATCTTCTTGGTCTAGATATGTTAGACAAACTTGGAATAATGGATGTACCAATTAACAGTGTCTGTAACGTATCGTGTTCATCATTGAACAGCTCAGTACTTCCAAAGAAGACAGGTGAAAGGTTACTAGAAAAACTGAAAAGAAAGTTTGCCTCTGTTTTTCAGAATAGCCTTGGCCACTGTACCAAGATGAAAGCGCATTTACCAGTAAAACCAGATGCCATACCTATTTTTCGCCCGAGACGTCCTGTACCATATGCTGCTCTTGAGCTAGTCGACCAGGAACTTAATCGCTTGCAACAGGCTGGTGTAATCCGACCAGTTAACTACTCTGCATGGGCCGCACCGATCGTAGTGATTAAGAAGGCCAATGGGACTATACGCATATGTGCCGATTTCTCGACCGGTTTAAATGCTGCATTAGATGTATATCAATATCCATTACCAGTTCCTGAAGACCTGTTTGCCAAGCTTAATGGTGGGACATGCTTCGCGAAAATAGACTTCTCTGATGCTTATCTCCAAGTGGAAGTAGATGAAGATAGTAGAGAGCTTCTGACTA